TCAAATAATATGATCCCTACCACGTTTTCCAAGGTACTTAACGTGCTCCGTAACTGTGGTCTGCTGGTGCGGACGAACATTGTGGTAGTTTGATTACTTAATGAAGGCTGGATCCCTGGTTTTGTAGTTTTGCATTTGCACACCTTCCCCGACTTTGACATGCAAAGTCCGACTAAGCAAAGTTTTTAGCGGTGGATGCCTGCTACCTATCTAAAGTCTGATGTTTTGCTTGGATGTCGAGGTTCAACTCTAATTATATCCAACATCACAGCGGTTCAGGTAGGGTTTCTAGCAGACTCTGTGTAGTGGTCGCGTACTCTCGAAAAGCGAAACATGCAGTACTTGCGTGGGAACCCGCCATTGGTTGGTCGATCCACAAATAATCTAATGGACGATTTCAAGCGTCTCTTCGGTTTTCCTGCACGCACCAACATCAACTGCAGTGCGCTTAAGTAAACTGTTGCTTTTATTTACAGGTGTTTTTTGAAATATGCCTGCACCGTGATCTGCCGTGATCCTCAGGAGAAGAATAACGGGATAGAGCCAGGCGACTCTTAAGTACTCACTTTAATGATCGTTCTGAGGGCGCCTCTCAAGGCGAAAACGTAAAGTAAAGTTAAACTTTGTTTAACAGACACATGCTTCCAGAACGGCCCCAAAACATCCACAGGCCCGATTTGCAAACAATAGTTTTGTGACTACCAGATGGATTACATTCTGATCAATCCAAGATTCCACAGCACTATTAGTGAATATAGATCAGTGCGTGGTGACAAAACCTGCAATCTCTAGGAGGCTAATTATGTCTTTATCAGCCCTAATTTTAACATTTACCTCTCATCCACGCGCAAAACGTCTCATGCATGGTGTCCTAGACTAAAGGACGTTATTTGCAGTATTATATGCAATTTATTAATGGACAACTCCATCGAGGTTGGGTGTTAGAGGAAAAAATTCAAGCAGTTTTTCAACACGCTGACTCCGTCTCTGCAGAGGAGTTAATCTCCCCGTTCGGTGAGTGTGATGTGGACCAGACCAACCAGTTCCTTTTCCTGCAATCTTATCTGCTTTTTCTTTTGCCTTCCAAGCACTATTATCTTATTCCTAAACAAGTTACTATTACCACCTCGTGAGGTACAGAGATGGCATCGCCATTTACGACGGGCGAACTGCCATCTGCACAAGTAAATCTTTGAATTTTGCTTTTCAATATTTAAGGGATTCGCCCTATTTGATGGTGTGCATCCAAAGCTTACAACAGAAACTGACTCCATTCACGGAGCCCACGGAATAGATTCAACTGCAACACACGAGTTGGTTATACCTAGCTGACAACGGCAAATGAGCCAGAAATAGCCATTCTAGGGTCCTATGTCTTGTCAATAATACATAATATATTGAACGTATTTTATTTATCCTGTTTTATTCGATTTTTCGTGTCTCCAGCAGGCTTAATATTTTTTGTATGTGTGAAAACAGCCTTGTACGCCAGGTCCCGTTTGTTAATCTGACGTAAGAGATTTTTTGCCGTTTTCACTAGCAGGCCCAAATTCTCTAAATCTAAAATCAATACTTTCTTATGCTTTTTATCCGTAGGAACTGAAGAAAATGAATAACTTCAGTTCATTCCTCGCGTTAATACTTGGAATCCAAAACGCCTCATTGCCAAAAGTTTCGAAAAAAATAAAATCGGTAAGTCAGATGAAATATTTATCAAAGGCAGAAGCGCCGTAAGCAGCGTTTCTATGACATATCCCTACTAGTTGAATTTGAATTTGGCTTTTTCCTTAAACATTAATTTTCATGTTAGGGTCGTTCACGCTATGTACGCGCAGATATTTGCGAAGAAAATGATTACCATGCACACGTTTATAGGACATCTAAAATTAAATACGCAGATAGAAGGTA